GGAGAAGACATCACACACATGTCAACGTCTTACCCCTCATGTGCTTCCTCTTCAGGAATTCCCCAGGCTGGCCAACCCTCTCCGCTCCCTCTGTAGACACACTGACCGGCAAGGTCCGGGTGAGGGAGAGGCAAGTGAGGCACTCATTTGGGGCACAATATTCAAAAGTGATGAAAGTATGACTATAAACTAGTGATGCCCCTCTAGTAAGTCACAGATTTTTTTTAAAAGCCTCATTACTTTGTACTTCTACATTTAAACTTTCATGACTTAAAGCCCCATGTAAGACACAATATTTGGTTCCTTTCCAGGCATAACTCAAAGGAAAGATAATATTCTCTCTCCTATCTTTGTGTTGCATTTTGTTTTACATTTCAAGTATTTTTTTTCCTGGCTTTTTGTGATCATCTTTTCTGTATTAACTATAGCTAGAGCCAATACTCAGGACCCAAACTGCTCTGTTAAGAGAAATCAGGTATAAAAAGACCTGAATGTACTGGAAAGGCTATAATTTGATCTTCATAGATTTTTTTCCCTTTTAAATTAGTTGTAGTAAATTGGTGGTGAGAAACACAACTGTTTACTCCTTAGTACTGATTCCCTTTCTATTTGCTCAAGAAGGAAGGAAGCAACCTGAAATGTGCATTTATAACTTGTATTTTGAGTGTGAAAAATTAGGTATTCTCTCAATTTTATTTTATTCTTTAACCAAATTTGAGTGTTTCCAATATAAGACTGTAAAAAGGACAAATTCCACCCAACAGTTGTCATTCATTGTTTTTGTGGCTGTGACTAGCTATGAAACTTTAGCTCAAGCCATGGGCAAAGATTAGAAGCCATTTGAAATTGTTATCCCTCCACAAAGAATACATTAGAGAGATAGTTCTTGATTCAGTGTTAGTCCAGAGACTTTAAATTCCAACTTAGCAAGCATCGATGTGTGACAATGGGAAAAACTGGTTATAAAATATATGGTGTGACGCCTATATAAACTAAGTTATACGGTTCTTTCGAAGTTAAAGATGGATGTTGATTTCTGTTTGCTGGCTATGGGAAAAATAAAGACAAGGAAATACCAATGAACAAACAAGTAAAGACAAGCCCTTTGTAAGGATAAACACTAAGGAAACAGTGGCACAGGGATTAGGGTATTATTATATCTCAGAAGAGTTATATTAAAAGTTACTAAAATTTCTCAGTGACCAGTTTGATGATATAGAATTTGAAACCAACAAAAAAGCTGAAATATAAAGAGGGTCTCAGAGAAGTCAAACATTTGCTTTTCTAAGCTTGGCCTTCTGTATTCATTCTTGAGTTATATTTGTTTGGGTTGACAAGGCTGCTTGCTCTTTAAAATACAACTCTTGTCAGTTTTGTTCTTGCCTACTTAAGAAACAAACTTCTCCTTCTGCCCAGTCTTGCAGCAGTTACGAACATGGTGTGTTTCCTGTGTGCCAGGCTCTGTTCTGAATGCTTTACACCTATAGTGACTCTTTAAGCCTCACAACAACCTCTGAGGGAGAAATGATCTCCCCATTTTGCTGAAGAAGAAACTGAGGCACTGAGATATGGGGTTAACCCCATAACCTCCATAATTTCCAGACCCTGTGGCAGCTCAGTAGCAGCTGATTGGTTCCAGGTCCTGTCCCTGAGCTCCTCACCTGCCCTTCCTCCCTGACACTGATACAGCTGCTTTTCCTGGAGCTCCCATCAGGATGGGAGGACAGGGAAGCAGGTGGGGCAGGGCCAAAAGAAGCAACCCAAGAGGGCAAAGGATGCGTTTTACTGTCTGAAGTTTGGAGACATTTATGTTTTCCTATCACCTGCACTTTGCCAGAGCTTGTTCTTGTTTTCTCTGTAACGTACCCTTTTACTAACCTTCTATCTCAAGTTTCCCTCCCTCCTTTCTTTGATCTTAATAGCACTAGACAATGGGTAAAAGTGACCTTGTGAGTCTGTGTCCTTTGGGTATATGAGATCTTTTCCACACAAGGAGGACTGGTGAATTTAAGGGTAGAGATTCAAAGTGACAGAAGAGGGTTAAAAAAAAAGTGAAAAGGAGGGGAGAAGAGAGTAAAAAGTATAGGACTCAGAGAGGATGTTTTAAGTAAGAACTTGATGAATAAGTATTGGATGAGATGAAAGGAGATGAGTCATACACAGCTGAGGTCAAATTATGATATGAAAAATAGTGATTTCAAAATAAAGTGACAATATAACCTCATGTAAACCTGTTACATAAGCTGTACACATTAGCCTATTGTCCAGCATCAGTTCATATGTCCTGTTATCTTTGGAAATTGTATCTTTGGAAAAACCATTTGATTGAGGGTTTAGAGTACAAAAAATAAATAATGGTGTGAAACATAAGAGGTATATATAACACATTTCCATCTCAGTTGATCAACATTTATTATAATAAGTTAACTACCATTTAAGCACCTGCCCTGTCCCAGGCATTATGCTGGTCAGCCCTGAAAATAGATAATTAATATCTACATTTAATTAATTCAACAAATATTAATTTATCACATACTGTGTAGTAGGCCACAGGTGAGATGCTGAGAGGGCTTCAGAGATGTTTCCAGTGTAGATCTCCTACCAGAGTAAGAAAATGTTCCAGTGCAGCCTGAAATCTGGACCTGAGAGGGGCAAGAGAGTAGAAAAACCAAGAGTTTTAGAATATGAACAAAAGCAATTTATATTCTGGTGCTTCTATTTACTAGTCATATGAACTTGACTTCGGTCTCTAAACCATGCACCAACAGTGTTTTCTGAGGATCATTTGAGATGATTTATTGACAAAGCGCAGTCCAGATCAGGTGTTGAATATAAGCTAATTTCCTTTCTCGGGAAATTCTTCATGTATCTTTTATCATAATGGTTTAGTTAGTAGATGGCTGATATTCTCTAGAGGTTATTTTCCTTTCCAAATGATGAGCTATATTCTTAATATTCTTCTCAAAAAATATTTATTAGATATGAGTTTTTTAAAATACTGATCTGATTGCTAAGGGCCATTAACACATCTCAAACACTGTTGAGACTGAGAATAGAGGTATCATCCCTAATTGCCTGAGCATGATCTTCCATTATCCTTGGCAGGAAAGAACAATATGGTTCCCATAAGCACTTAAAAATACACTTCAATAAAGATGACACAGCCAAAAGATTACAAGGCCCTGTAAATTATGGAGAAGTTGAATCAACTTTTTAACTTACTTTGCTAAGAGCACTATCAAAAACTGTCAAAAGAGTTGTAGAAAAGGAATACAAGAGATAGAATATGAAATCTCAGGGGATCTTAAGCTGTGTAATGGTATTCTGAACTTGGAATATAGGGGGCTTATTGCCTGCAGACTTAGTAGAACATTCCTTTCTGGCATCTAGTATTAAAAACTTCACTATGGAAGATAAATCTGAAAAATAAGTTAGTAGTCAAACTCCACCTTTGAGTTTCCAGCATTAAAATGTATAAAATTTTTGTTTATTCGAAGTTTACATCTCACCTGATGGAGTTCCTTATCTTTAAATGTGAATTCATATCTCTTCTATATATATTAATGTAAGAAAAACATTTTAGATTTACACTGTTCTGGCTAAATCTTTGCTGGCAAAGATTCTATTCTAATCACAGAGCTCTTATAATAATATGCTGTTCCTCAGTTTCTGGAACACAGAATGTTTACCTCTCCTCACAAGATTATTCAATAATGGGATAAAATAATGGCTATGGAAATATTCCCAAAAAGGTATAATGTGCCATAAAATGCAAAGCTAAGATTTATTCAATTGAGCAAATACAACATTCCAAAAAGACAGGATATATTTTGTTATTCTAGAAGAGATTACTTCCTTCTGAATTTCTCCATGTCCCATTTCTTTGTACCACATCCTATGTTCTGTGATATAGATACTAGTGCAGTTGGTCCTCAGAAGGAACTCCACCTTGACAATTTGAAAGTCACTGAGTGCAATGATTTTAGCCAAAATGACCCATTTTAAAAGATGACCCATTTCAAAACCCATGAGTTATTATTCAAGCTGTTCTATATTTGAGAATCAGAAAGTTATTTCCTTTTCCTACAATCTCATTTGAATCAGTCTTTTATAAAAGGGAAATTTGATCTCTATGTTAATGAAATATAGTGTGACATTTTTCCTTGCTAGAGCCTTGCAGTTTATTTTGAAAATTCCTCTCCACCTTCTGATGGCTTGTGTTGGAGTAGGGGAAGAGGAGGGGAGGGGGATCAAAACATTTATGTGCAATATCATCTATGCCTCCTAATAATGCCTCATTTCTCACTTCCTCGGGAAATAGTCTCTTTGAGCCTCAGCTTGAACCTTCCCTATCATAACATGCATTCCCATCTTCAGGTGTCACGGTGCTGGGAGGGTTGAGATTAGTCAGACTGAGTCACCCTCATCCTCAGAGGGTGCTCAAAAAACACTCATGGAGAGTGCCTGTGGGAGAGGAGGTGAGAGAAAGAGACAAGGAGCATGAGAGTGGAGGATCATTTTAAGTATTTAATGAAAACATTTCAGGTATTGAATTTACCTTGCTTTAAAATTTAAAAAAAAAAGACTTGACCCCCAAAAGCAGCTACCCCACCCCCGTGACAAGATATAAAATCTACCATTAGTTTCTTCTGAGAAAGTTAAAACCTTAGGTGCTAGTCGCCAATCAAGCCCCCTTTCAGAAAGTTCAGGATGGTATCTTTTCAGTGCCACCACTTAATACAGCTACCTTCCATCATTCTTTTCTGGGTCAGTTTCAGCTTCTCACATCCTTCTTCCTTCCCCCATAGGGACCAAGCAAAGTTTCCCAAAATAAAGGCACAGAGGAACAAATCCAGTTCTAATGGATGTACTTTCATCAGAGAATTACCCTAAATATGAGCTCCAAGCCACCACCAGCCACCGAGCGGTTACAGCATTGGTGTCCCTTTAACATGTCTCATAACCTATGAAAACCAACACTGGGAAAGAAAAATATAGAGTGTGTAGTCAGAGTAGGATGAAAAGTTGCTACTTTGGACTCTACGTAAGTGGTGTCTGGGTAAGTAATTGATTATCACTTCAGGATGCAAAATGAAATTCGACAGCGTCAAAGGAAACTGTGGTTAACAACCTCCCGGCTTAGAAAGAGGTCTCGTTTCCCAGTTTCCCTGCCTGTCCACTTCCTTGTCTCCATTTCCCCAGCCTGCAACTTCCCGAAAGCTTCCCTAGTCTGGCGGTTTCCTACCTTCCAATCCTACGCAAGAGTTTCTACCCGAATTCACCCCTGCAGCCCACGAGTGGCAGCAAGATTAGGGACCCCAGCCGGAAACCGAGATCCGCAGGGCGCGGCGTTCGCCTCCCGGCTCCCGCGCTCGGGCGGGTCTCGGCATCGCGGCGCGTCGGCCGCTTTGCAGGAGCTCCCTAGGGAAGGACTCCCACCCACCCGGTCCGGGAAACTTCACCCCCACCGGAGCTCCGGGTCCCCTGGCTTACCTGCCGCACCTAGGCGGCGGCCAGCCTGAGGCCACCGTCGCGGGGCTCCCGCCCGCAGTCCGGAGCGAACAAAGGCGCCCGGGAGAGGGAACGCGCCTCCTCCCCGCCGCGCTCTCGGGCGGTGGGCAGCCCTGCCCCGCGGTGGGTAGGGCCACCCCAGCTTTCCGACGCCGGACTGCGCGCGCTCTGGGCCAGAGCAGAGGGCCAGGGCCGGGCCCGGTGTCTGCCCCAGCCGTGCCTCCCCGGCCCCAGCGCGCATTCCAACCTGAAGCCCTGGAGCCACTGTGTGAACGCGCGTGCCTTCACCTCCTCGCGACTCTCTTCTCGTCTCGGCC